TTCTTCCAATATTTTTCGCCAAAGATTTCGTATGCTTAAGCCCCTTTTTCATCCGCATCGTCCAGGCTTAGGCCAATGGTCGGATTACTTTAATCAATGGGTAGATGCGGTTAATCGACAAGGACTCAACTCCATTACCAAAATGTATTGTGACTATTCGCCAATTGGCTAATGGTAGCACCGTGGATAATCTCGATGAATATCTAAAGGTTGGAGAAACTACTACAATGGAGGCAATGAAGAATTTTCTGCAAGGTGTTATAGCTATATTTGGTGAACGATATTTGAGGCGCCCCACTATAGAGATACCGAGCGTTTGCTCAAAACTGGTGAGAAATGAGGATTTCCTAGTATGTTCGATAACATTGACTGCATGTATTAATTGACGCTGAAAGATGTCCAACTGCATAGAAGGGGCAATTTACTCGATGTGGTCAGAAAGTGACGACAATAATTCTTGAGGTCGTGGCATCACATTTTTAGGGCTCGCTTGAACTTATCAGCTAGAATCTATAGTATTTTTCTCTCACAACAAATCAGCCAAGACCGACTTATCAGCCGACTTTAATACTAGCCGAACAAGCCCTTAGTTTTTGTAGTATAATGGCGTTACTTTTTTTTTTCTTTTGTAGAGATAAGCCTATAGTTTGTGTACCTTATGCTTAAGGATAAAATTTTCAGTTACAAGAATATTATTTTAATTCTTTACTCGAGCTATATTTTTTTGTGGCAATGTCAGCCAAACTTGTTGCTTGCGTAAACTAACGACAAATCATGAGCAATGGGAATTTTGCTGTTCTTCTCTTGGGTCCAAACTGAGTACATGGTGCCTATTATTATGGGCCAGAAGATAAACCTTACGAACATGCTTCATCCAATATGGCCCGCAGGATGAAGAAAACCTTGCTCGAGAACATACTTCACCTATTCTGGGCCGCAGGATCACTTCTCATGGGCCGATTTCAGCCCATGGGCTTGGAGATATTATTTTGCGCGCGTGCCACCTGGTGGAGAGGCTCTCGTCGGGGGCCATCCTCACACCACTCGCCTTCGTATAGAAATCCACCATCCGGGTCTGGAGCTAGAACTCGGAGGCACCAGCCACTGCATTTGCCACCTCCTACCACTTAAGAAGATACACGCTTCATTCGAAAATAAAGCATATTTCCGAGTATGCACCTCTATCCATGTGTGTTGAAGTGATTGATGTAGAAATTTGTGAAATTTTTTACTTTAGTTCACCTCAATATATGGATCAAAGTGGATACACGTGTATCAAATAATCCCTTATCCGTGTACAACTTATCCAGGTGATTTTGGGCCAGAGGTCGAAAGGTCCAACCGAGGTTGAACATCTCGTTTCTTTTTGGCAGCTTGATCTAGAATCGCCATCTATCGCCGGTCATCTGCTGGCAGAGACAGGGTGAGCCATTTTTTAAATCCACTGAAACTAAACATCGTCGAAGACTCAAAGTGAAAATTCAAGATGAAGCAAAGCAAGTAGAATATAATGGTGAGCATAAGTACGTTGTAAGTGTCTGTGTTGTGTAATCGGAAAAAAAAAGAACTCGGAGAGCAACCGGCGAATGCGATTATGCAAATAATCATCGGCAGCCTGGATGCAACACGCAAGGACCGGATGGAGACCGAGGCACGAGCCCGTGAGGGCACGGCCATATTTCCCCACCGACTGAGTGGGCTGGACCTGGATTTTAAGTAGTAAATCTTGAAGGCCTAGCGCGTAGGCGTAGCCATGGGCTCAAAGCCCGTTAAGTACAACTGGGCTGTTGCTTTTTTTTTTTTTTTGCATCTTTTTAGTCACAGCGAATTTGGATTCGAAATTTCGCATCTATATTTTGCCGTTCTCTCCACGTAGGAAAAAAGTGTCAGCCAGGTCGCTCAGAGTCCCTTGTTCGGGCGGGATGCCTAGACAGAGGTGCACGGACGTCAAAGGTATTTGTTTGAATATAATATAATATAATAATTTGTCTACTACCTATTGAAATTAAATACATATATTCAAACAGTTTGAAGACATATATTTTATTATTCTACGTGACCTTTTTGGATTGTGCACGGATCTTTGGGCTAGCTGGAGAGGGACCCAAATCGAACCTTTTCTCTTTTCTGTGGTGTCACCGTCGACGCATGACTTGGTGCTTGATTAGCTTAGGCGGCTAGCGCTAGCTTACATAGTTACATAGTTATATCGCATTCACAATTTCACATCGATTGCGAGCGACGCGAGAGAGACAGATCGAGAGGGAGAGTTGCCGGGCCGGAACGAAGGAAGAGGGACGCATGCAATGGCGGCGTCGCCGTCGTCAAAGACTCCAGGGGCAATGCAATTATGTTCAGGCGAGTCGTCTAGTCTGGTCTCGTCTCGTCCAGATGACACCGGCACGGGGGTTTCCATGCCCAGATGATCCTTCCGAGACGCATGGCTTGGCTGTAGTACATGTGTGATGATCGCCGGGGTCTGCCATAATCCACCTCATCACCTCACCTCAAATTAAAAGAGATGAACAAAGACACAAACTCAAGCTACTAAACACCGCCGTACGCGTACACACGGGCAGCTTGCTTGCTTCCTTCATTCTTTCCATCCTTCCTGCTCACCATCTATGTTTCACTTTGTCATTTAACTTTATTTCCATTCCTGGCCCAATTAATTGTCCCGAGCATGTGATTAGTCATCCTTAATATATTTCACTTTGTCATTTAACTTAAGCTAACATTGTATTGTAGAGAGAGGGAGCGACTAAGACAATTTCTTTTTATCATTTGGATTATTATAATCTGATACGAAATGGGATTATAATATAGTCTACAGTCTACACTGCGGATTATAATATATAGTATGGTTTGTTTTGGAACCTTTGGATTATTGTTAGTTGAACTACAATCTCCTATTAGTAGGTTGGAGATGGATTACAGAATTATTAGAATCTACTGTGTTCCATACTAATCTGAGGTTATTTTTTTATCAGATTAGTATAATCTAAGGTGCAGTGATCCAAACAATGCAATTAGGTTTTGGTGGGTTGGTGTCACCGGTGAATCCGAGCCCAGAGTAAGACCCCAACCTCTTATGTTATGTACAATTAATTATACTCCCATCATTCTAAATTATAAGTCATTTTAATTTTTTAGAGAGTCAAAACATGTCAAGTTTGACCAAATTTATATAATAAAGTAATAACATATTTATGATATCAAACAAGTGTCATTAGATTCTTAATTAATTATATTTTTATATATATACCTATTTGATGTCATAAATCTTTTAATTCTCTCTATAGTTTTGATCAAACTTGAGATACTTTGACTCTCAAGTATGTTGGAGTGACTTATAATTTATTTGGGGGTGAAGATAGTATTAGCCAGGTTTAGGTCATCATATATAGTGTGCTTTCTCTCTTTCTTTGTGCAATGCAAATGGGGCACAAGCTGTGATATTACAGAATTTTAGGAGATTTTTTTTTTTTTCTCTTAGGTTAATTAATTTATTCATTGAATTAATTTATAAAATCCAACCAATCAATGGTTTAATTAACTTTAAAATATTACCTCTTAGGTAAGAGAAGTACCATAGCATTGTCTATAAAAAAACTTATCTCCCCATTAAGGAGTCCTAGTCCGAACTCCAAAGTGGAAAATCGGCATAAGTGTATATATATAGTGCATGTCTACGTCGCGGCACGACGGTCGGCGCTTTTCCCTTCAACATTCTGCAGCCTCAACAAGTCGTCAAGAATCATTATATATGCATGCAGTTCGTTCAAAGCTGGTTGCCTATCATCTAATAAAGCTCGGAACACATTCAAATTAGGAAGGTTCCATCTATCTATGTCTATTCTTCTTCAGCTTTGTCTAGGTAGCTAATTTCCACACAGCATCATATGCAACAACGACCTGCTGCTTCTCTGTGTGTCATCCATTGGAAATTGTAATATATAGAACGTCACAGTCACCAACTAGATATAGGGAGCAGTATATATATGCGACGTTGAAATTCTTTTGCCTTAGCAGCTATTTATAAATTAATAAGCTAGCTATTAATTATTGGAGAGGGAAATGTGTCTCGATGATGTTTTATTTGTTTTATGTGATGTGTATTTATTTATTTCAATAAAGACATATAATGTCACCACCAGAGAATCTCATATGTCTTTTGCAAATAATAATAATAATAATAATAATAATAATAATAATAATAATAATAATAATAATAATAATAATAATAATAATAATAATAATAATAATGAAATTTACAAAACACAGTCAGTAAATAATATCCACTCAACCTAGTCACATTTCCATTACTGGATAATACTTGTGCAGTCAGTAACTCGGGCATTCCTACTAGGAAAATTTACAAAGTCCATCCATGTAATTAAAGTGAAGAGCAAATGCCAGCGATGGCATGCATGAAGCCCACCAAATATAGTCAAATTTTCGAGTCCTATGAATTGTGAATGTGTGGATTAACACATGATGCCACCTTTAATTAAAGACGACATGAAGTGCAGCAAGGTTAGGAAAGGTTTGTGGGTGGCGAGTTTTCAATTGGCGTGGTATGGTATAGTGAGGGATTAGTCACCGAGGATGGGCAGGAGGATGACGGGGCGGGCCTGTCACGCCATGGAGACGATCTCGTAGAAAAAAAACTAATGTTTTGGAGAAGGCGAGCGGAAGAAGAAACATTTGGCATTCGTACTATACTAAGGAGTGCCGTCATGGACGACCAACAATCACAAAATTGTTGTTGTGTATTACATTCTTTATTAGATGCTTTTTTTCCCCAAATTAAAGTATACACATCACTACATCAGGATCTCCATCGTCGTCATCTATCTCTGTACATATCATATCTTTCCAGTCGAAAATTTAAGAAATGCATCATGGCACGCCCTCGCCTTCCCAAATGAAACTAATTAAAGAATATACACATCAGATGTTTTTGATATATATATGCACACAGCACACGTACGTACGCGCTACTTGTGGACGACCACGGCGACCAACGCCGGCGGCGCACCCGCGCATCCGGATGAGCCTTTGCCCGGCGGCAGCACGCGCGACGAGTCGGAGCTGAAGCGGAGCGCGAGGCAGACGACGGGCGGGGTGCCGGCGAGGACGAGGCCGAGCGGCACCATCCAGAGCTGCGCGTAGGACGGGTGGAACGCGACGGCCCACCACGCCAGCAGCGCCGCGCCGGCCATGGCGGCCGCGGCGAGGCACACGTCAACGGCGGCAGATTCTTCAGCGGCCACGACCGCTGCGGCCTCGCGTCGGCCTTTTGCCGCTGCTGGGTCCCCTTGGCGGCGGTCGCCGACCTTGACCACCACGGACGACACGCCGCCATCCTTGACGATGGCCGGCAGTGACGTCGCAGCCGCCGGCGCCTTGTTGCTGCTCGGGTGGTGGTGCTGGCCGTGCATCGTCTGCATCGGGAACATCACGTGGATCAGATCACGATGTGTGATCCATCGAGCTCTTGTTAATAAATATAGGCAGGCAGGAAGCCAGGAAGGTGCATATGCGCGCGAGCGAGGCCCGGGGGGGCGCGGGGGTGCGAAGGCGAACTGAGGAAGGCGGCCAACGACGTACGCTAGAGCGCGTCCACTTGTTGCCTACGTGCATTTGACGTTCATTGATCAGCCAGGTAGTCAGACCCGAACAGTGAATACTGAATGAAAAGCAGCAGCTACCTAGCTGCTGCATCACCTGGGACTTGCAGTATGCAGTGGAGGCGTTTTTTTATATATATATATTTACTGCATGCTCATAGAAATACAGTTTACTATTATGCAAAAGAAGTGTTGTATCAACTTTCTCTTAGCTTTTGTGATGCTACTGTATATGTTCAACAATATATCTTAATCCTGGCTCTTTAAATGTCTACGGATTTTATACATGGTTCACACAGGTTTGTATGAGTTGATGAAACCAAACATGACATGCTCTGTATTGATGTGTTTGGTTTGTGGAGCCATCTCATGCTTCGTGAGGTGATGCATCATGAGTTTATCCCATAAATTTTGGTGGAATTAGCTCATTCTTCATGTATATACTAATTATTAGCTCGTGAGGATTGAGGTGGTGATGGAACAGCTCATTCTATTCCATGAACCAAATACAAAAAATGATAAGTGAGAAAAAAAATGGACCATCTCATTCCTTGAGCCAAACATATATACCCTGTATGTATCAACTTTTTTCTGTGTGTATCAACTTTTTCTTAGCTTTTGTGATGACACGTTGCACCGGCGGCCGGAGCCCCAGTGAGCAGCAGTGGCAGCTATAGAGGTTTTGTCACGTACGTCTTGGTCTCTCTTCTTGGGCCTCTGCCGATGCATATATTAAATTCTGATGGCCACCCCGTCCCGTTTCTTCTGCCACGTTTTGGACCTGTGTGCATTATTATTAAAAATTCGATGGCCACTCCGTCGCGTTCTTCCCACCCTGATAGCAAACTTTTTGCACTTTTGTTGCGTGGGCGGTGCGCTGCCTACGACCGATGGCACTCTGAGAGAGATGGTCCACTTTCTTTTTCATTTAAGTTCTTGGATAGGTGCATGTATAGATAAATGATAATGCTCCACCGCGGACGTGACGTAGCCTCCCGGTATTCATGTACTGTATACTCCCATCGGGTACTTAGGTAAACAGTCAAAGCATCACTCGCCGATGGCGTCTCCGCACCACTCAGTCGAGGTCTGGACCCCCGGCGACTCGCCCGCACCCGATGCTCGCCGGCAAGCCGCTGCAGCTGGCCGGCGTTTCTCACGCCGTCATGAGCCCCGATGCGGTGATGCGTGCAAACGGCGTCGACGACCTCTTGGTCCCGCGATTCGTGCAGGAGGCCTTCAACTGCCGCCACAGCCTAGCGTCGATCTCCGCGGCGCTCCAAACGGGCGCCCCCGAGGTGGACCCGCGCACCCACCGCCTCCTCAGGAAGCCCGGCCTCGGACCGACTCACGCTGCTGGGTTCCACGTCGACGCTTCCCGTGCCAGCGCCCGTGCCCGGTCCAGGATCCGGGACACGCCGCTTCGACGGGCAGGGCAGACGAAGGACTTCATCCAGACGCTGTTGTTGTACTACCGCTCTCCTCCGTGACCGCACCTCATCCCTCATTTGCCCCTGCCTCCTGCTCGGCGGCCTCGAGGCTCGCCTGACAAGGTGGTCGCCGCCTACTAGAGTGTCACGCCTGATATATTGCAAGCGTATATTTCAATTATTTTATTTGTTTCAGAGGTATGTTACAAGTGTTTTACGTGGATATTGCAAAAATAGATCGTGATGTTGTATATAATGGCCATGTTCGCTTTTCTTATAATCCGTACTTTTCAGCTTGTTTTTTCAGCCGGAACAATGCTTTTCTCTGACAACAAATCAGCCAACAGTACTTTCAGCCATGGCTTATCAGCCAAGCGAGCGGGGCCATTGCAATGGTTGTACACTTATGTTGCGAATGTCTGTTCTAAATATTTCATCTGTTTTTTCAGACATACGTTACAAGTGTATTTATTTGGATGTTAAATGTGTTTCACACATATATTGCATGTGTTTTATCTGGATGTTCCATATATTTTGTAATTGCTTTTCAAGCGTTTTCAGGTGTTTTTACAAGTGTTCCAGATGTATGATGCAACTGTTTTGAACATATGTTGTAAATGTTTTATTTAAATATTTCAAAAATAAATTGAGTGTTGCATCTCTCTTCATGTTTTCTGCTGTCTCGTTTTCGTGTCTCCTCTTTTCTCAACCCTGGTGATGTTCGGCGGCGTGGGTGGGGCGCGAGGTTGTTCGATTGGTGCAGAACTCGAGCGAGCGGGGCGTGCGGCATTGAGCAGGCGTGGAGCGTGGGGAGCAGCGGGGGCCATGGGTGGGGGCACGAGTCGCTCTAGTGACGCGGAACCCGAGGGATTTAGACGTGGGGCACGGAGAAGGCGCAAGGCGAGGGGAGCAGGCGCAGGCCTGTCCGATAGATAAATGATAGATAAATAGTACTAGCAGTAGATCGATACAGCTACCGAATTGAATGTCTACATCCTGTGTGTCGGTCACGCATGTGTATATACCGTCTCCATCGAGGATGTATATATAGCGAAAATACATAAGCATTCATGGACAAATTAAAGAATTAATCAAGACGCTGGATTGTCACCTAAAGAATGGAGACAGCCTAGATAGCATTTTGCCAAGACTAGGGTACAGTAGACTGCTAGAGTACTAGGCAGTTTAGGAACAACTAGAAAATGCAAAAAAAGAAAAGGATAAAAAAAATGCCCGGCAGATCTCCTGCCGATAGCTTTTTTTTTTATAAAAAAAACAGAGAGAGAGAGAGAGATTGCGAAAACATATATTTCTGCATGCTTCATAGAGCCGAGCGACATAACAATAAAAACCTAGTACCCCCAAAGAGCCCAAACAGAATCAATCAATCAGTGAAGGTTTGGTGCATTCAGTGAAGGTTTGGTGCATTCGAGGCTCCCACATATTCATCTTCGTAAACAATTTATAGACCCTGGACCTGGTTAAGTTGGGAAATAAATAAAATAAAATAATAGGGCTATAAAGGACACAAACCTAAAATTGATTCTACATTTTTAATCATAATCGCTGAATGTAACATATTACGTATATACCACTAAGCTAGATTGCTAGAGTACTGGATAAGTTAAGTACCTTTTTCATCAGTCTTAGGTTCTTGAAATGATGTAAAATTTTATCATTTATTTATTCTTAGAGCATCTTCAAGAGTATCCTAAATTTTCCTCCAAAAAACTCTATGTTTTCCAACTCCCAAAAAGATATTGAGAGAAAAAAGAAGGTTACCTCCAATAGTACTCAATATTTCACTTCTAAAAAAAAAATCAAAATTTGGTCCCACTTAGATTTTTTTGCGGTACTTTTTCCTGCTCGAAAGTGCTCGTGGTCGCGGAAACCTACGCCGCCGCTGCCTCCTTCCTTGGAGTTCCAGCCGTCGTGCCCTAGCCCGGCAGTTCGAGCCGGGGGTGGCCACCTCCCAGCCGCCCATCAGCAAGGAAACCAGGTAGCAACAGCCGCCCATCAGCAAGGAAACCAGGTAGCAGCAGCCGGCCATGGCCTTGCACACATAGGCAGTAGCAGGCCAAAACACACTCGGCCACGCGTAGGCACGAGGGAACAACCAAGGGCGGACGCCAGCAGTCCACAACAATCCCGGCGGTGGCAAGAAGCACACAGCCGGCCGCGGCGAACCTAGCGACGGCCAAGGCAGTTCTAGCGGCGGTGGGCAAGGCAAACCTAGCGGCGGCGGCACAGCAAAACCACGGCAAACAGGGTAGATCGGAGCACGTACCTCGTCGCTACGTCCGTGGCGACGTCTATCATCTACCTGGATGGCGAGCGATGGAGGAGCGACATCGATCGTCTACGTCCGCGATGGAGAGGAACTGGTGACAGGAGGAGCGCGCGAAGGAGAGAGTCGCGGCAAAAGCACGCACGTGATCAAGGCCTGCCGCGCGGGAAAGCTCTATGCGTGCGACCGCGACTCAGCGCAAAGTTATGCGAGACGGGAGAGGATTTCCCAAGTGCCAAAATTTTAGGAGGATGGATTAGAAGTTGTTGGAGAGTTTTTTTTTTCTCATGTCCCTAAAAACTAAGGATTGGGAAGAGAAATATGGTATTCTTGGAGATGCTCAGATACTCCTCACTAAATAGCATACAGTCCTATGATTCAACAGTTCGTCACTCATCTGATTTGTCAACCCAGTGTTGATACTTTTCGTAGCTAAGTAGGCTCTTTTCTACTATGGCAGTTGCAACAACGGGTGAACTTAAGTAACTCAATAAGGCGAAGAAGCAATGGAGAAAAAAGTAAAAAAAAACTATATGTGTTTGTATTCCATTTCAACAATCTTGATAGCAAGAATACCAAGGTCATTAGAACTTGTGAGACAACAATTTTAACTTCGACACAAGCAATGAAATTTCCATGTTGGTTCCTAATAAGGACAACATACTTGCGTCAAAAAATAAGGACAACATACTGATAATAGGAGAAGTCAACAGCATTCATCTCATCAAAGTTGAATTGCTTTCACTTAATTCAAGGATGCACAAGAATTCCTTGAATCTACAAGTAATCATTTTAATAATAGTGTAAAAGTTTTCAGCAAAATAATTGTTTAATCTGGTAGTAATTTGGTCATGCACCAAATTAAGACTTCATATTTAAAATGATGATACAGTAGGTTGCCCGCAACCACTTGAACGCTCCTAATAGTTATTGTGCCCTTCATGTTTGATATAAACGATGTGATGTTAGACACAATACTTCTTTTCCTCCACAAATATCTCTTACCAGCCTCCTCGAATTTTGTCCTGTTAATTTTCTATACATCCCAATCAATCCTATAGCTCAAAAATGGTTTGGCATTGTGATAAATTATTAGTTTTTTT